CGAACACTCCGCTCGACTGCCCGCTCGGTAGCTGCCTTTTAACTGCACACGCGCTCCAGTGCCCGCGCCCGGGGTCCGCTAGAATCCGGGAGGGGCCCACAGCGCAGCTCCGCTGCTCCCGGGGGGAACAGTCCCGGGGCCCCGCCTCCAGCGCCTCGCCGGGTACAAGGTTCCCACCTCATTTGGCTGGCAAGTGCTCCGCCCCGGGCCGGGAGCGCTGGGAAGAGAGGCGTTCTGGGACTCTCGCTTTCATCTCCTTGGCTGTGCTTAAGACTGAATTGTTTTCAACTCATTATTACTTTTCTGTTGTTGCTTGTTTCCCACAGCAGCAGAATGAGAACGGCTATATTGGTTAGTTGGCATCAGAGAGAGACCAAGTGGAACATAGTCCTTGAAAAACGCCACTCCCCTTTCTAAAATAGCAATTTAAAGTTATACAAGGTTTTTAGTTCCTAAAACTAGATGTCAGTGTAAATGCTATACAAAGAACACTGGTCTATAGATTCTATACTCTTAAAGTGTTCAGTACTGCCCTCACTTTCTTCTTGAGGTTGCTGTATTATCTAAAAGCTGCAACTACTCTGTATAGTTTTCTCATAAGGACACTTACTGGAGTATAGTAAGGACTGGATATGTAATTAGCAAGTATAGTCTATTTGGGTAGATAAGAACTAAGAATTTAAAAATGAATGTTTGTTTAAAGCCCAAACCCAAGGGTTAATCAAAAGACTTATGGTCGTCAATATTCATACCATTTTGTTGACTTGGGTTTTTGATTTGAACATAGTAACAGCTATGAAGGACAACATATGACCAGTTTCGTTTGTAATTGATGCTGAACTCATGATGTGTGCAGCTGCTGTGCACAATATCACCGGGTTTTAAATTACCCAGTGAAGAAATTCAAGATACCGTACTCTTGTTTGCCTCCAGAATGAAACCCAAAGTCTGAAGGAAAAACAAACTGTTGTTGATATTCTAAGGTGTTCTGCATTTTGAAAGCTTCCATCAGCTTTTCAGGCACTTCCACCTCTTCCCTTAATTTGTCACAATTTGGTTAAATGGGACACAATATATTCATATAATTAGAGAAGTGCATTTTTTTGAAAGTAAGTCGACAGGAAGCTGCCTACGTGAAGACTCTACTACTGTTTTAACCATTTCATATGCTAACAATACTAGAGTAAATGTCCTATTCGAACTCTGAAAATACTGTCATTCTCAGTTAACACTTTAACTAAATCTCAGCCCTGATGGTAACAAATGTGGTATTAAATCCCTGGACTCCCTTGTCTATACTTAGTAAATCATACCCTGGTATACCTCTGACAAAACCCCCACCTTTATCTATGAAATATAATATTATTGCTTTATGTGAGCAAAACCAATAGGTAACATTTGTAGAGCATTGACCCTGTGGCAGGCACTTAACATGTGCCACATGCTTTACAGGTATTAACTTATTTAATCCTCATAACAACCTATGAGGTTGTTAATGTGATTATTTATTTTTACAGATGCAGTGTCCAAGATTACACAGATAGTAAATAGTGGACCCAGGATGGAACAGGAGCCAGTCTGGCTCCCCGTGGCCTGCTTGTAGCCACCATACTTTATTGCTTATGTAAGCAGACATCCAAATTCATAAATGTATCTGTAGCTTGTCTATTTACATCAGAACCCACAGCAATCACTTATTTTGAATAAATATGCTGTAGCAACTCTGCCTATTGACATCAGTAGAACCCATGTTTGCTTGTTCTTACCAGACGGCTATAAACAACAACAGAATAGGCATACATATAAATTCTATATAGAAGCTATTTATATTGCTGGTCATAAATTAACAAAGCTGTCACTTGAGTTGGAGAAAAGACAGATACGTTTCAAGGTCTGTTCCATTTGTGTGCACACGCATGCATGTGCGTGTTGGATTTCCATTGTGGGCACTCTATATGCCTTGCTCATGGTGCTTTGTACCCTTTTATTTAATAAATTATGATAATTTGTTGAATGTGCATCCTCCTCAGAAGTGCTAGGGGAGAAAGGAATAAAAGGCGTGCAAATGATTTCATCCATGAGAGGGTGTAGATATTTCACCAGAAAATAAATAAAACTTATAGGAAAACCTTAAAAAATACAGTATAAAGGAATTGGTTCCCAAAGTGCATGGGAATCTTACCAACTATCTTTTCATTTTAACAATATTTGGAACCTGGGGGTGCCTGGGTGGCTCAGTCAGTTAAGGTCTGACTTCAGCTCAGGTCACAATCTCGAGGTTCGTGAGTTGAGCCCCACATTGGGCTGTCTGCTGTCAGCACAGAGCTCGCTTCAGATCCTCTGTTTCCCCCTCTCTCAGCCCCTACCCTGCTCATTCTCTGTCTCTCTCTCTCTCTCAAAAACAAATAAACATTAAATAAAAAACAATATTTGGAATCTGCACAATTTCCTCCAGAACCAAACCCTGGCACTGGGTGATTTGGGGCTATTACCACTGCCAGCATGCAGAGTAAGCAAAATATGGTGCCACTCTAGGATACTGGTCATTTGCAACATCACCCTCACTGTCCTCCCCCACCCCCTGCCATTCTCCCCCTGGAATACTTTCTGTTTCCTCCAGAGAACTCTCTAGTTGATGTAAACATGCAACTCAAACTAGACAGCACATTACAAAACCACTTCTGGGCTAAGATCTTCGAAAACCTGACTGTCATTTTGGCAGAAAGTAGTGAGCTAAGAATTCAGCAGAAAAGGTGAATTTTGATTGAGGGTGAAGGAACGTGGAGGAACCGTGTACACACTGATAAAGAAATAAAACTTTATCCAGACAGTGGGCGACTACTGGATATTAAGCAGGGGAGAGGCAAAACTGGATATTTGTTCTGGAAGAATAATTAATGGCTATGTGAAAGATAAATTGGAAACAGACTTTGGTCTGGAGAGAAGCTAACCCATTTCTGCAAAATCCCAGGATTCCAGAAACCTTCCACAGGCAGAAGTGACAGGACTTGGTGCCTGACAGAATGTGTCTGGAGGAGGGGAGCGTGATGGAGAGAAGGAAGAAAGTAAGATAACTGAGGTTTGTAGTGTGAACTATGTAGATGGTAAAGTCGTTAAACAAAATAGGGGTAGTGTGAGCATGAGGGTTGAGCTGATGGGTGTGCGTTAGACGTGTCAAGAGGAGGTGGAACCCTCCACCCAAGAGACCAGCAGTGGCACTAAGGAAAGTGGAATAACTAAGGAAAGTGCATTTCCTCGTATCTACTATGCATAATGATTATATCCAGAGGAGAATTAAACTATCTGGGGAGTGAGTGACTAGAGAGGGAAAAAATTTGAGCTGAGGAAGAAACTCTGGGAAAAAAAAAACAAAGGGAAGGAGCAAGAATATCTGGCAGAATCTTGCTTCTGCTGGGTAAGATTCTATTACAGCTTGTTTTTAAGTTCTGTATAGATTTCTTCAAATGGCCCATGAGGTGAAGGCAGCTATTTCAAAGCCCAGAATGTCCTGGTACACAGTTATTTGAGGCTCCCTTTGGCTTCCATCCCTCCTGGCAGTGAGATTAGCTGCTCTGCTGACCATAACGGTTCCTGGAAATGAGGACAGTGAGGTTGTCTCAGAGGAGGCTTCTCCTCTAGGGCATGTGTACTACCACACCGCAGAGACGTAGCCTGGCTTGTGCTGGGTGAGAACACTTCTCTCCTGAGGTTATGGGTCAGAAAAACGGAGAGAACTCTTATTGCTCCTCTACCCCTACTGATAAAACATTTAGAGCTTGGACCTAACGCAGTGCATGAGGGTCCTTCGTGAGATTCCTCTCTCAAGCCATGCGTGTAGCTTGGCCAGGTGCATACCATGGTTAGTAATTACCTTTATTAAGGATTCACTTCTCAAACGTCTTGGTCATTTTGGTGCTCATTATTATTTTTATTTTTGAGAGGAAGTGAGAGCCGAATTTATTAAAGGCAGAGTGAGGGTGAAGATACAGACAAAGCGTCCAGGAGACCGGGAAAGGAAAGGAGAGTGAGTCTTATGTTTGCTTGGGGCCTGGGGTTTTTATTGAGGATTGTGGTCTGGTGCTTATTTTAAAGTCGTTAGCAGGAATGGATGGTGAAGATGGTCATAGGGTGCTTAAAATACTCAAAATGTTTTACAACGCATGTGGTAATGAAGAGTCATTGATAAATAAAAAATGTGTGGTCTAAAAAATTAACAAATAGGGGCATCTGGGTGGCTCAGTCGGTTAAGCATCCGACTTCGGCTCAGGTCACGATCTCATGGTTCATGGGTTCGAGCCCCATGTCAGGCTGTGCTGACAGCTCAGAGCCTGGAGCCTGCTTCAGGTTCTGTCTCCTCTCTCTCTCTGCCCCTCCCCCGCTCACACTCTCTCTCTGTCTCTCAAAAATAATAAATAAAAATGTTAAATTTTTTTAAAAAAAATTAATAAATAGCATCTAGCAAATTAGAGGCATGCTGGTAGATAAAACAAGAAGCAAACTAAACATTTCCAATAAAACTGATAAGGAAAAAACAATTACAATGTTCCTCAAGGGCTTCCACATAAAATGCCTCTCCCCTCTGTTTTGCTGCAAGGTGTGAGACCAAAATAATGAAAGGTTTCTGGAAACCTTTGCCTGACCAGAAAAGATAGGAAAGCCAAGTTAAGTCTTTCTTACTAGTTAATATTTTTAAATATTTACTGTTTGTTAACATGACACAAAATAAGCCATTGACAATTGGTTAAACTGAAACTAGAGCAAAGCTAGAAGATTTAATGGCTGGACAGAAGTGGTCAAAGGTACAAAGTTATGCAAAGGGTAGTTTCAATTATCCAAGATGACTAAATCCTAGAGGTCTACTATATAGCATAGTGCCAATAGTTGAAAATATTAAAAATTTGCTAAGAGAATAGATCTCATGTTAGGTGTTTTTATCACACACACGCACACACGCACACACACACACACATACACTCATAATAAAGAGGGCAGGAAGAAACTTTTGGAGGTGAAGGATATGTTTATTATACCATAGATTGTGTTGATGGTTTCATAGGTGTACATTTATATCCCAAATCATCAAATTGTATACATTAAATACATACGGCATTTTGTATGTCAGTCATACATCAATAAAGTGGTTTATTAAAAAGAAAACAACAACAAAAAGAAGTGCCTACAAGAACCTGAAAACCTTCAAAGGGTTGTACATATTTCTCCCATAGCATGGTGATTTCCACGTTAAAAGCTTTTCGGGGACTCTGATCAACTCTAGGGATAGCTCCTAGCTTAGCTTAAGTAATGGCTGAGAACATTTAAATATTAGTGGTCATTATAACAAATTATTGTTAATTTTACATTTAAAACATGCCTCTAAATTGTGTGTCCTGTATTAATGTAGCATCAAGGGACAGGGATTTCATCCCAGCCTTGACACTTTATCTGTGTCTCCTCAAGTGACCCACGTTCTCACCTGTAAATTAAATTGAACTCAGTTATGTATAAGACCCATTCTAGAATAAAGATACTCCCCCAGCCCCAGGACCCCATCTTTTAATCATTCTACTTATCTGCTTCAATAAAACATTTTATTTTTAAAGCACAGTTTGGCAGTAAGGTATGCTTTTTGGTTTGATTTAGTTGATCACAGAAGGGGAGAAGAAAGGACACAGTACATTCTAGATTCTGGTTGTTTCTTCCCATCCCCGTTTTCCTTTTGATCTTTTCTTTTCTTTTCTTTTTTAGTTTTTTTAACGTTTATTCATTTTTTGATAGAGACAGAGCATGAGTAGGGGAGGGGCAGAGAGAGAGGGAGACACAGAATCTGAAGCAGGCTCCAGGCTCTGAACGGACAGCACAGAACGCGATGCGAGGCTTGAGGTCACGGACCATGAGATCATGACCTGAGCTGAAGTTGGATGCTTAACTGACTGAGCCACCCAGGCGCCCCATGATCTTTTATTTTCTTTAAAAAACATTGTTTAATGTTTATTTTTGAGAGACAGGCATGCACGATCAGGAGAGGGGCTGAGAGAGGGAGAGAGAGGATGTGAAAGTGGGCTCTGTACTGACACCAGAGAGCTCCACCCTGGGCTCCAACTCACAAACTGCAAGATCATGACCTGAGCCAAAGTCAGACCCTTAATCGACTGAACCACCTAGGCGCCCCTTACGTCTTCTTTTTAAATGATTTTCTTTTTTCTCTTATTTCTGATTTTTAAATGTAATACATCATGCAAGTTTACTCATCTGTAAAATGGAAATAGTGGTATCTACACTGCCGTCTCACAGGTAGGCTGTTGTGAGAATTAAATGGACTCAGTGCATGTACACACTGGAACAGTGCCTGACATATAGTCCTGTAAGCACTCAAAAATGTCAGCTGATATTATTAGATTATTAACATTAGTTTTCTACCTGTTCACCATAAAAATCAGAAAACTCAGCAAAACAAAAATAATAAAAATTATTTATGATTTATGATACCATTCATATGATTATTGCTATGGAATAATAACAATTACCATGGAGGTACTTATGCTTGCAGACTCCTCTCTCTCTCCTCTCTGTCTCTCTCTGTGTGTACCTATATGTGCTCATGTGTGGGTTACAAATGTAGTCTGTGGCTGGGCCCCCTTTGTGGCTCTTATGTTTGTTCTTTTTTCATCTTTAGGCCAGACTGATACATTAAATTCAAGTGCAATCCACTGGTGATTATTACAGTTTTTACTGAATGCTTTGAAGGGCAAGAAAGACAGCATTACATCATACCTACAGTGTAAAATCTCCTTAGACTCTTTCAGCTTCTCTCTTTCCCCCTAAGTCGCTCTACCCCTCACGGTGTCTCTTCTCTCCCCTCCCGTGCACTACTCCACGGCTACTCCAGCTGCCTCTGGTTCCCTTGCCCACAGGACTGCTGAAAGCATGCAGACTTGGTTCAGCAGAGTCCTCAAACCGAGGCTCTTCTGGACAAACATCAGCCACCTGTTCACTGTACTAGGGTGAGTCAGTTCATCTGTGTACATGTACTTTGACACATACCAGTGGGAAAGGATGTCCCTAATTCTTAAGTTTAATAATTGTCTTTCAAGCCAGGAGAGATCAAAGAAAAAGAACCTGGCAAATCCAAGCAGTGGGCATCAGTGCACTGACTCTCTGACCCCCTAAGCGGTCCACTTGGTCACAATCAGCTCATCAGAGTGTACCCTAAGAGTTCTGGGATGAAAGTCCCAGGATGACCTTGATGGCACCCTGGTCCCTTCAACATGTCCTTTGGATATCTGAACCCAGGGAAAGCCCTCCCCTTGTATCTCTCCGTTTAAAAAAAGTCCAGGTATACGAAATGCTTTAAATGAAAATGATAGACATCACAACTCCTCAGTCTCTTCTGGGGTTCTTGAAATATTGTTAGCATCTGTAACTTAGTGATGAGCTAAACAAAGCAGATGCATCACCACCATCAAATTACTTAGCTCGTGGGGCACCTGGGTGGCTCAGTCTATTGAGAGTCTGACTTATGATTTCAGCTCAGGTCCTGATCTCAGGGTCGTGGGATAGAGCTCCACATTGGGGTCTGCACTAAGAATGGACCCTACTTAAGATTTTCTTTCTCTGCCCTTTTCCCAAGCTCACACTCTCTCTCATCTCTCTAAAAGATGATAATAATAATAATAATTACTTAGGTGTGATTTTTTAACTGGAAATATCACCTATGTTCAAAAGTGATGTTTTGATGTTCCCCAAGGCGCTGCCATCTCTAATGCTATGCACCACATCAGACCTTGCCAATCTGTTGTCCCAGAATTTTATATAATGTGCTATTTGTATCTATGCATGTATATACTATATTGGTCTGCTCAGGCTACCGTAACAAAATCCCGGAGACTAGGTAGTTTGAACAATGGAAATTAATTTTTCACAGTTCTGGAGACTAGAAGTCCAAGATCAAATTGCCGTCAGGATTGGTATAGTGAGGCCTCTCTTCCTGGCTTACAGACAGCCATTTTCTCCCTGTGTCCTCAAATGGCCTTTCTTCTATGATTGCACAGGGGTGGGGAGAGGACAGGGAAGGAGAGAGAGAAAGAGGAAGATCTCTGGAATCTCCTCTTCTTATAAGGACACCAATCCTATTGGATTAGGGCCCCACTCTTATGACCTCATTTAAACTTAATTACTTCTCTAAAGGCCCCATCTCCAAATACAGTCACATAGGAGGTTAAGGCTTCAACCTATTAATTTTTTTGTGGGGGAAGCACAGTTTAGTTCACACCATCTACCAAGCGCCAGAAGTCCCAGATAACGGTATAGCAGCAAAGCAGAGGATTTGTTTTGAATAAAGATCTCATTATATGCTATAATATTTATAAAAGGAGACATCTATAGTAAACACATAACTAGAATTAGACAAATTCTTCATAAAGGCTTTCCAAGTATTTTCCTTGAGAATTCTTTTTTTTAAGTTTGTTTATTTACTTATTTTGAGAGAGAGAGAGAGAGAGAGAGAGAGAGTGTGTGTGTGTGTGTGTGTGTGTGTGTGTGTGTGCACATGTGCACAAGCAGGGGAGGGACAGAGAGAGAGGGAGAGAGGGAATTCCAAACAGGCTCCATCTCACAGCCATGAGATCATGGCCTGAACCAAAATCAAGACTTATATACTTAACCAACTGAGCCACCCAGGCACCCCTGAAAATTCTTATATACAATTATGATGACATAAGAATTTTAAGGGTGCATTTCCTTTCAAGAGAGCATTCCTTGAAATTTCATGTCCTTTCTTAGTGATAAGTGTGAATCAGATTAAGGTGTTCCTCAAAAGCTGCATTTTACAGTCCTATTTATTCTAATAAGTTTTTTATTTTGCTCTAATAAGTTTTGTATGTCAATTAACACAAATTTAATTATTGTTATTATAATCTACTTGACTTCACTAAAACTAGCTTCCTTTGTTATAAATTAGTTTGGCTTTTGAGAAAAGTTCATTCAAACTGAATTATGAGAGAAGAGATATTTAATTCAGTATTTTAATTTTTTTCAGGCAAATATGATTTAATTTTTAAAAATATTTTTAATGTTTATTTATTTTTGAGACCGAGAGAGACAGAGCTTGAGCGGGGGAGGGACAGAGAGAGAGAGGGAGACACAGAATCTGAAGCAGGCTCCAGGCTCTGAGCTGTCAGCACAGAGACTGACAAGGGGCTCAAACTCGTGAACCACGAGATCATGACCTGAGCTAATAGGCTGCTTAACTGACTGAGCCACCCAGTTGCCCCTAAAAAATTTTTTAAATCTAGAATGTCACTTATGTTATCATTTTAAACAAGCAGTTTATTCATTGCCTAATTTATACCACATGGCAAAAATTGAGGCTCTCATGTCTTTACTTACCTAAAATTAGTTTATGAGCACCTGAGTGGCTCAGTTGGTTAAGCATCCAACTCTTTGGCTCAGGTCATGATCTCATGGTTCATGAGTTTGAGCCCTGCATTGGGCTCTGCACAGATAGCACAGAGCCTGCTTGGGATTCTCTGTCTCCCCTCCCTCTCCTTCCCCCACTCGCACACTCTCTCTTTCCCTCAAAAATAAACACTAAAAATAAATAAATAAAGTTTGTTTGTAATTTTACCCAAGTGTGTTGTTACCCAGATATTAGTTTCTTTCTCCAGTAACACTTGACCATTCAGAGATCTCCATTTACGAGGACATGTAAGATGGATCTATCATATTCTTTGAAAGCTTTAAAGCCCGTATTTGACTATAACATTCGATATCAGGGTTTAGCACAGAATCAAATTAATTGTGTTACAATGTATGCCATTATATTTGAGATGGGAATAAAAGACTTAAAGTTATTACACTGGAATGTCCAATGATTTTTTTTTTTTTTTTTTTTTTTGAGAGACAGAGAAAGACAGAGCTTGAGCAGGGGAGGGGCAGAGAGGGAAACACAGAATTCAAAGCAGGCTTCCGGCTCTGAGATGTCAGCACAGAATCCGACACTGGGCTCGAGCTAATGAACCATGAGATCATGACCTGAGCCGAAGTCAGACACTCAACTTATTGGGCCACCCAGGCACTCCTGTAATGTCCAGTGATTTACATTCATCATTAAAAGAGATCTTATGCCACATAATTTTAGACTACTAGAGAAACTACAATGACAAAAAAGAAGAATAACGCAAAGCATTTGAAGGAGAAAGAGAGAAAAAAGAAGGGAAATGAGGAAACTATGCAATAGTGACACTTTTACGTTGTTGTAGTCTTATTTAAAAATTTTTTTTAAATGTTTATTTTTTTTAATTTTTTTTAAGTTTATTTATTTTTGAGAGAGAGAGAGACAGAGCATGAACGGGGGAGGGTCAGAGAGAGAGGGAGACACAGAATCTGAAGCAGGCTCCAGGCTCTGAGCCATCAGCCCCAGAGCCCGACGCGGGGCTCGAACTCACGGACCGCAAGATCGTGACCTGAGCTGAAGTCGGACGCTTAACCGACTGAGCCACCCAGGTGCCCCAAATGTTTACTTATTTCTGAGAGAGGGAGAAAGAGACAGAGTACGAGTGGGGAAGGGGCAGAGAGAGAGGAAGACACAGAATCTGAAGCAGGCTCCAGGTTCTGAGCTGTCAGCACAGAGCCCGATGCAGGGCTTGAACTCACAAATGGTGAGATCATGACCTGAGCCGAAGTCAGCTGCTTAACTTACTAGGCCACCCAGGTGGCCCTTACTTAAAATTTTTTTTTAAATTTTATTTCAGAAACAGAGCATTAGTAGGGGAGAGGAGCAGAGGGAAAGAGAGAGAATCCCAGGCAGGCTCCATGCTGAGCCAAAATAAGGCTCTATCCCACAACCCTGGGATCATGACCCGAGCCAAAATCAAGATCAAATATTCAATCAACTGAGCTGCCCAGGAGCCCCTTATTTATTTTATTTATTTATTTATTTATTTATTTATTTATTTATTTATTTTTAATTATTTTTTTTATTTTTTATGTTTTTAATTTTTTTTAATTTTTTTTTAAAGTTTTTTTTTTCAACGTTTATTTATTTTTGGGACAGAGAGAGACAGAGCATGAACGGGAGAGGGGCAGAGAGAGAGGGAGACTCAGAATGGGAAACAGGCTCCAGGCTCTGAGCCATCAGCCCAGAGCCTGACGCGGGGCTCGAACTCACGACCGCGAGATCGTGACCTGGCTGAAGTCGGACGCTTAACCGACTGCGCCACCCAGGCGCCCCCAGGAGCCCCTTATTTAAATATTTTTTAAAAATTAAGTCTGCAATAAATATAATAAAATATACACACAAAATATGCATTTTTAGCTCATGGATTGAACATTGAAGGTGAAGTTAAAGAAAACAAACTAAGCAAAATAAGTAAATAAACAAGTAGAAAGACCAAAGTTGCCAACTCATGACCAGTCTATTTGTCTGCTTTGAATTAATGGTTAAGTTTTATGCAAGATCATGTTAAACCACAGTTTCTACATTGCACAATAGGATCATCTATCGTACTGCTAATCTAAGAGAATCTGATCTTCAAATACCCAAGGCTGTGAAATAAACAAACTCCACACACTTTAACCTAGATTCCAGTTTCAAACTCGAAAATTCTAGGAAGTGTTTCCCGTGTCCTTTTTTGACTTTTGGGTACTAACATTTCCATTAGTTTTATTGTATATATTTTTTAAATTTTTTTTTTCGACGTTTATTTATTTTTGGGACAGAGAGAAACAGAGCATGAATGGGGGAGGGGCAGAGAGAGAGGGAGACACAGAATTGGAAACAGACTCCAGGCTCTGAGCCATCAGCCCAGAGCCCGACGCAGGGCTCGAACTCACGGACCGCGAGATCGTGACCTGGCTGAAGTCGGACGCTTAACCGACTGCACCACCCAGGCGCCCCAGTTTTATTGTATATTTTTAAATCAATATAGAAGCTGAGCAAGTGTTTGTTAGTTAACTTTGGTTGACTTGGTATCTGAAACAGCAATAATTAGTAAAGACTTCAGTGGTATTGAGACTCATATGCAAGGAAATTACATCACTCTACAGATAACCGGCTTAACCAATCCATAATAGTGACAGGACAGCAAGCTTATGAAAGTGGAAAAACCTTAAAAACTGACCGAAAATATTGTGGCAGTGGATTCCACTTTTACCCTCTGCTACTCATACCAGAGAAGTTGGCCACCATCCCTTGACATATTGCCACATATTTTTTTATGACAAAATATAGAACTGATCACAAGAGGGACACCTGGGTGGCTTAGTTGGCTGAGTGTCTGACTCTTGATTTCAGCTCAGGTTATGGGCTCATGGTTCATGAGATCGAGTCCTGCATCGGGTTCTGTGCTGATATTGCAGAACCTGCTTGGGATTCTTTCTCTCCCTCTCTGTCTTCCCTTCCCCCACTCACATACACTCGCACATGCTCTCTCTCTCTTTCTCTCAAAATAAATAAATAGACATTAAAAAAATTGATCAAAAGAGAAATAAATCTATTCTGAGGGAATTTGTAAGATTAATAAGTATATAAAACATGGAAATTTTCTGAGTATAAAAGTATATTAATATACACAGTTAGAAATAAGTGATTAAAGCATAATATAGATATATGTCTTAAAAATACTTTGTGTATTAATATGTTAGAATTAAATTGCACTGAATTAGCAGAATTAGATGAACATGACTCATTTGGTAAGGATGAGTCTTGGTCAGCAAGATTCTTGGAAACACAGGTCTAACAAGAAGAATGAGACTTCACAGTTCAAAATTCCTGTGACAAGAAAGAAGAAGAAACAGAAGTGAAATTTGGGAAGAATTTATTCAAAAACCAGTGATTAAGATCAGAGAAGGGTTGGATTTGTGAATAAAAGAGTGTTCCTGAATCTCAAGAACATTTGGAACATAGTGGCTGTTTTTTTCCTACTGCTATTGTTACAACAGCATAAATAAACTAAATGTTCCTGGATAAATATTATTCCACATGTTCTACCCAGGGGCAGATGAACCATGAAGCTCAATGGAGCTTAATCTTCAAGGGCTGAAAAGGGCTTAGAAATGGTTTCACATGGTCATATGTTGGAGTAAATTTGAAGAAGATATTTCAATCACAGTCACCTAAGACTTAAGATCTCTTTCTGTTCTGACTTTTCTTCTGAAAGACTTTCCCTTGGTCATGTCACATTGGAATGGCCATAAACATTTTGGGAGCCATGTAATGGGAAATTGAACTGGGTGTACGTTTGGTTTCAGTTACTGGACTATAATTATGTGCATTGTAGTCACCTCTGTGTAGAGGAAAGTACTGCTGGTTGTCCAAGGATAGAAATGGCTTCCAGTAATATTCCTACTGTCTGCTATGCCAACTCACCAGGCATCCTGTTACATTGGAGGTGCAGAACCAAAGGTCATATTGCAATGTGACCTTATCCTCCAATGGATGGCACCATAAGTATGTGGTAGAGGAGAAGAAACAAGGTTTGAAATAAATGGAGGTAAAAGCCAGTTATTGGAAATTATTCCAAACACTAGATATGTAAAATTGTTAGGGAGGCAAGAATATATTTTCATCTTCCTAGTCAAACAGGAAGTACTATCCTTTCGTGATATACTCAACAATGCAATGTATACAATTATAAATGTATCATAGTTTCTCCCCCCTCTTTTGAAGGAGATTGCACATAATAGAATTTATCAGAATTATTGTTTGCAGCGTACAAACTTAGGAGGACTATACACAATGAGTATATCTGTCTATGAAGTCATACATTATACAGGCATTGCAAAGTACTAGATTTTGTCTCAGCATACCTGATGCAGCTGCTCTTGACAAAGGCTGATGACACATCAGTCATTGGAAGAAGATTTAAATGATTCTTGATTTAATGCAAATTACTGGCATCAATAAGGATAACATAAAGCTCATTATATTCATCTGAGATAGGATATGGCAGACAAATTGATTGATGAATGCGGCCTATTAAAAAAAAATAAGGTTGATCACTGCCCAAGAAAACTTGAAATGTCTTGAAATTTGACAGCTTATATGAGGCTTTAGTATATTTGACAATAATTCTAAAAATATGCATGACATCAGAGTCATTACTAGTCATGAAATATGAAGCTAAAAAAAACTTTTTCCAGGGGTGCCTGGGCAGCTCAGTCAGTTAAGCATCAGACTTTAGGTCAGGTCAGATCTTGCGGTTGTGAGGTTGAGCCCCATGTCAGGCTCTGTGCTGACAACTCAGAGCCTGGAGCTTGCTTTGGATTCTGTGTTTCCCTCTCTCTCTGCCCCTCCCGCATTCACACTCTGTCTCTCTCTCGGTCTCTCTGTCTCTGTCTCTGTCTCTCTCTCAAAAATAAACATTAAAAAAAAAAAACTTTTCCAGATTATCAATAATAAAAAACAAATTTCAACCAATCATGCTAAACTAAATTTATGCTCCTTATAGAAAATATTACAAGCCATTGTCATATGAAGAAGAGATCAGGGGTGCCTGTGTGATTCAGTCAGTAGAGCATGTGACTATTGATCTTGGGGTTGTGAGTTCAAGCCCCACGTTGGGCATACAGATAACTTAAAAAGTGTGTGTGTGAGAGAGAGAGAGAGGGATCAAAGTTGTCTATGGAGTAAAGTAAGAAAGGAGATATAGTACCATAGAGAGGTTCCAGGCACCTGTAATATTTTTCTTCTGGATTTTCTGGTATTTACAATATTTATTAACTTTAAAACATTTGAAGTTTTATTAAGTAATCTCTATGCTCAACATGGGGATTAAACTCGCTACCCTGAGATCAAGAGTCCCATACTCTTAACAACTGAGTCAGCCAGGCACCCCAACTTTAAAAAATTTTAAATGACTATTTCCTCTTCTTTACTTCTGTACCTGTAGTAATAGCTATTGCTCTCCTGCCCTGATTCCCTTCAGCAAGACAGTGCACCCATCCTAGCTGCTGCAGTGTTGACTACTAAGGATTTACATCTGTACCCTGCTGTAGCAAACTGATCGTCCACAGCTTAGGGGAGCCACCCTCCCTAGAGATGCTGGGGATCTTGAACTACCTGCATGACTGACTGATGCTCGGGCATAAAAGCCCCTGCCTTATAGCAGGACAATACACACTCTAGAGCTCCCCAGCAGATCAGGCCAAGGCTAGATATCTTCTGAAACCACACCTTTGCTTAGCTTCTCTGGCCTTATCCTGCATCCCTCACTCCCCAACAATTTCCTGAGAGTCAGCCCTTGATAAATCACTTGCTCAAGAATCCCAATATCAGGCTTTGCTTCTAGGGAACCCCACCTAAAAGAGTATCTAATTGTGTCTGCTTTCAGACCGAGCCCACCCTTTGGAGGGATAATGAAGTACCTGCCATTTTGAAGTGACAAGATTAGTTATAAGCCCATATAAGGAGCAGCTAGATCTCCAGATGCCAGCTCTAACATTGCATAGCCAGGCACCTAGGTGGGTGGGTGTTGGGTGCCTTTCCCATCCCAACAGAAGAAGACAGGTATTCTCACTGTAAAAGTGAAAACAGAGCTCTAGCCTCAGGGATATTTCAGGGAAGTAAGACAAATGGTAAAAAAGGAAGGTTAAGTTAAATTCCATGTATTGAGTTGTGAGAACCTTAGTGCCCTGCCCCTACTCAGCTCCTAGAATAATAGCCAGGCTTGCACCTTCTACAGGAGGATAAAAGGGGTCTCTCTCTCTCCTGAAAAATAGAACAACAACAACAAATAAACAAATAAACAAAAACTTAGCCCAGGAGGAAAAAAACCTGCAGTTGCCAATATTTGGGCATCTACAAAATAAGACCTAAGTATTAGTATAGTGAAGCCACCAATTAACACACCCTGGCCAAGCTTCCAATCCATTTTTTGGTGTTTTTCTCTTAAATAAGAACAGAGAGCCGAGAATCACTAAACTTTTGAAGAATGTTTCTACCAGCTCGACCCTGTTGCCAGTCTAAGGGCCTGTGACCATGAATCCTAAAGATACCGCTAACTGACCCCTGTTCTAGTTCTGAAACTCTCAGTTCAAGGGCATATGTTGGCCTGAGAGGCTGCAGGTGATTAAAAATAAATAAATAGGGGCGCCTGGGTGGCGCAGTCGGTTAAGCGTCCGACTTCAGCCAGGTCACGATCTCGCGGTCCGTGAGTTCGAGCCCCGCGTCGGGCTCTGGGCTCATGGCTCAGAGCCTGGAGCCTGTTTCCGATTCTGTGTCTCCCTCTCTCTCTGCCCCTCCCCCGTTCATGCTCTGTCTCTCTCTGTCCCAAAAATAAATGAAAAACGTTGAAAAAAAAAATTTAAAATAAATAAATAAATAAATAAATAAATAAAGAGACTGTGTTCATGCCCAGTGTTTTGCACTGGACAATGCTCTCTCTTGATGTTTATCATCCACTCCGAGATTGACAGGGTGTGCAACTAGCTCTAATGAGGCGGTCTCTGACACATACAGGATTGGCTTAAGTGCAGAACTTCTCCAGGCTCTCAGCTCCTAAAATTACCCAATGCAACTGCTCACTATTTTTCTACTGAAAACAAATTACTAGCTTGCTGCCAGACACTTACTGAGACTGCACCACTATTGAAAGACACCTATGACCAAAGATTCCAATACTTTTCTGGATGATACAGAAAAACAATGGAATAAGCAAGGAGCAGCTCAATCTCATTGATTTAATGTGACTGATATATTCAGGAACGTGAGAAGGCACAGCACGGGAGAGGTTTAGAGAATTCATGGACCAGAGGCATGCACCGTCTGGAGATTACATTGTCATTGTATGCTCTCTCTCTGACAAGGACTGACGTTCAGAGAGATGTCACTAAGTTTCATTTATTGATGGCAATGTCCACATTAACTACAACCTTAGTGATGGAAGGCAAGAGAGTCTACTTATATGTAGTATGGCTGGATGCACATTCCAATGTCTTTGCTTAGATTCCCCTGAAGCAGAGCCAGGGACTCATAAGTGCAGGTGACTTATTTGGAAGATAATTCCAGAAAACAGGGGAGTGATACAGGCAAAAAGGAAAAGCCAATAAAATGTGTGTTATTGAATCACTAGACACAGCTAGGGATCAATCTTGTCTGGGACCCTGTGAAAAACCCCAGAATCCACTTGCAATTATACACTATTGTACACTATTGATAAACGGCATATATAGTTAAGTAAAACACAATATTGATACTATGTGTAGAGAAAAAGAAAGTAAAAATAACTTTATAAAACTGTATAAAAATATTTATAAAACAGTGTTCTGAGAACTAAAGTTCTATTGGATGTCATTTTGAGCACAAGTATAGTCCTTTAAGTAGCAGTTTTTAAAATTTATTTTTATTTATTCTATTTTAGAGAGAGAAATACAGAGTCTGAGCAGAGGAGAAGGAGAGAGAGAGAGAGAGAGAGAGAGAGAAAATCCCAAGCAGGCTCCATGCTCAGCACAGAGCCCAATGTGGGGCTTGATCCTATGACCCTGGGATCATGACCTAAGCCAAAATCCAATCTGATGCTCAACCCAGTGAGCCATTCAGGCACCTCCTTGAAGTAGCATTTAAAATGCTGCTGGGGGCGTCTGGGTGACTCAGTTGGTTGAGCAGCTGGTTCTTGATTTCAGCTCAGATCATGATCCCAGGATTGTGGGATCAAGCCCCGGGTCAGGCTCTGCACTGGGTGTGAAGACTGCTTGGGATTTTCTCTCTCTCTCCCCTGCTCTCTCTCTCTCTAAAATAATACATACATACCTACATACATATATACATAGAATGCTGATGAATGACGGGACACCTGGGTGATTCAGGTCAAAATCCCGGGTCAGGGGATCAGGTTCTGTATAGGCACCTCTATCCCCACCCCCCTCACCCCACGCTGAGCATGGAGGCTGCTTAAGATTCTCTCTCTCTCTCTCTCTCTCTCTCTCCCTGTTCCCCTCTCCCATCTCATTCATGCTCATTCTGTCTCTCAAATAGATAAAATCAGATCAAATAAATAAAATACTGATGAATGAGATTAAAATTCTTTTTGAAGAGACATCATTTTGAAAGTCTCTAGTTTCATGATGTTGGTTCCCATAGTTGGTTCATCTGAAATTTCGATTCACTTCAAAAGAGCTTCTGTTTTTAGGATTCAGAGGTGCAGGAGAAACTCCAGCCCAAGAAGAGGGCTCTCTATAAGTGCTTCCCAGGAAATGGGAAGAAAAAGGAGGTTTCCACAGGAACTATGTCCTTGGATCGGGGGTAGTAATGAACCTCGTATCGGAGCACAGCTGGGTGAAGGTGGCCTGGCAGCACAGGAGGCCTGAGCAGAGGGAAAAATCAGCCCTGCTTTCAGACCAAGCCCACCCTTTGGAGGGATAATGAGGGATCTGTTGCAAAGCTTATTGAGATATGGTGACTGCTAGCTCAGGGACCAGATCATTCTTATAACTTCAGCCATCATTTCTTCTGGCCTTGAGTGTCTAGATCTTTCTTCATTAAGTTCTTTTATCAGGGGAATTAGTTCCTCCTTCAGGTTAAAGTTTGTTCTCTTCAGCTTTCCATAGGTATCCACCTGGCTCTGAATTTTTGATGACTCCTTCTTTAGGCTAGTGTCCCCAAAGATGACTCAACCCCAACATTCCCCTTTTGAACAGAGCCAAGCTCATCAAGGGGTTGACACTACCTTGAATTACTTCAGCTGGTGTTTGTGAAATTTTCAACCAGTGTTTGTGAAAGCTGCATTCTCCATTTCACATAAAGCCAGTTTCTAGACAACTGGAGAAGTCTAAACAAATATGAGACCCACCAAAAAGCCAATGACAGATGCACACGCCACTGACTCCAGCTGGAGACCACAGAGGGTAAAGTCCAGATTCCCGTTATCCAGCCCCAGTTCCACAACCACCTCTTGTGGTTTCCCTACAACACCTGAAGCCAAGTTCTACAGTGGCTTGAAGCCCTTCCATGGCACTGAAGCTAGAACAGAGTTCTGC